AAAAATAAATAAAAAGGTTATTTGGCAGTTTAATAAGGTGTGTGGTAGCCACACATGCTATATAATGATGCCCATATATGCTAATAGAGTGTGGATGAGATGTAGCCTCAAACTCTTCAAGCATTAAAGAGAGAATTTTTTCAGTTATGGAACAGAGATTGGTGGGTGCAGAAGAGCTGCAATTTGTCTTCCAGACATATCCTACATATGCTCAATAGGATTAAGATCAGGATAGTGAGAAGGCCACTGCATGTACTGGATATTTTCTCTTTCAAGTTGTTGACCAGGATTGCATGGTGACAAGGTGCATTATCATCCATGAATATGAATCCAGGACCGACAGCACCTCGAAACAGGTGAACATAAGGCTCAAGGATTTCAGCCCTGCACCTTTTAGCAGTAACAGATCCTGTGTCAAAGAACGGGAGGTCTGTGTGGCCAGAATTATGTCTGCCCACAGCTTGACTCCCTTTGAAGGTAAATTATGTCCTTCCACAATGTTTCTTGGGTAAAAATGAGTTTTACATTCTCTCCATACCATTGTTGACAAGTATCAGTGTTCAGAGTAAAGTGGGATTCATCAGTAAACATCACATTGCCCACTCCTGAAAACTCCAGTGCTGATGTTTCGAGCTCCAGTTTAGACGAGCGCATTTTATGTGCAAGCACAAGAGGAATGCAAACGATTGGTCATCTCGCATACAGACCGGCGTGATGGAATCTCCTACAAATAGTTTGCCTCAAAACTCATACTCACGTGGCAGCTCTGGGTGCTGAACCAAGTTCTCTGGCCCAACTGTCCCTCTGATGTTATTGCCAAATATCAGTCTTGAATTTCAGCTGACGTCGACTGAAATGTTTTGCATATGCACACTGTTTCACCTTCAAACAATGATTCTCCATAAGTGATTTTAAACAATTTAATTAATATTTACTCCCACATTTTATGAATTATGCTTAACCTTTGTGCACCAGTGTGTGTGTGTGTGTATATATATATATATATTTGTACTTTCTATAAGATCTGCTTTCATATATGTGAGTTTGGATTTTTGGAACTAAAATTCAGCTCTTAACGGTAATACAAATACAAAATTATGAAACTTATTGAGAAAGAACAGGTAATAACTGAATTAATTATTAAAAAACATTCTATTTCACCATAAGCCCAGTTCAGCATACTGTAAATATATAAAAATTCTACCATATTTTTTGCTAGAATTTTTTAAGGACAGACATTTAACTATTTTGAATTTTTATACTGAAACAATAAAACATTTATCTATATATATATATATAAAGAAGAAAGTCTGTGTGTTTGTTCTCTAACAACTTAGTCACTACAATAGCTATCATCGCCAAACTTTCTACGATTCTTTTCTGAGTCCTGGAAAAGGTCGACGTCAACTTATATAAATAAATAAATAAAAAAGCTAACATCAGAGATATTAATTAAAAACTCAGAAAAATGATAATTTTTGTCCTCGTTTTCCTGAGTGGCATTAGTCTCGCATGCTGGAGATAAAAATGCTTTATTTCAAAAGGTGTTGCCACTGTTCGCTCTCAAATCATAGAGTTTATCGTCAATCAAAAATTTGTATGTTTTACAAAATCTATACATATAAAGAAGAATGTCTGTGTGATTATTTGTTCATGTTATTGATTTCTGATGAATTATGACAAATTTTTTGCCATATTTAATTGAATAAAATTGAATACAGGTGAAATATTAGATGGAACTTTAGCTTTTACGACCATTTGATTAGAAAGACGAAAATAATTAAAAACTGCGTGCCATTGTTGCTGATATAATAAAGGAAAGAATTAGCTTATTTTTCTATAAATATTTTTTATGAGGGTTACATATCACATCAGATTGAAAAATGTACAACTATGAATCGTAATTTTTTGCATCATTATTAGAGAAGGATTACAGCAGTATCATTCTCTCTGTTGTTAGATGCATTAATCTCAATCTAATTCAACTGGCATTGGGTAATTCTACTAGTTAATTTACTAATAACAAGTTTAATTGTTATTAGTAAATTTATTCCCTTTAGAAGACCTACAGGAGTCTTCATGTTTTTTCTAGCTTCTTCAACTAAAAAAAAACCCAACCCTAAACCGAATCTCTATTAAGTGGGCTTTTACCAACTTTGAACTTCATTAACCAAACACCAATCAATTTAAAGAAATAACAGGGAAAGTGTAATAACATTAGGAAGAGTATAGTGAAAATCAGGATAATTAGTGAATTTTTATCACTGACTGACTTTCTGGACTTTTTGGCCCATAACAGATCACTTAATATAAATGTCTGGTACAGGCAAGGATACCAGCATTATTTCAAATTACAGTAAAATATGCAGTTGAAAATATGATGTAATGTTTGCGTGTATTAAAAATCTTTACTTCATCGTCCTCCTTAAATTAACTAGCAACAAATAAAAGGAGGAAAAAAAACAAGTATTTTGATAAAGCACAATAAAAGTATTGAAACTACTTATTTATTTCATCATTTATTCATATTTAGCAATAATACACACAACATAAAAGTATATTTTGAATTATGCATTTTAGCTATATTATCAGTTAATATTTTTAAAGCTTTATGATTGAATCTCAGTTGTTTCATGTCACACATTAAATTTTATTAATTTTTATTAAATTTGTTTCATGTCACACATTAAATTTTATTAATTTTTATTAAATTTGTTTCATGTCACACATTAAATTTTATTAATAAGTATTAGAGTTATCACATTGTAATTTAACTTCTTTGAAATCTTTTGAATTTTGAAAATCCTTTCATAACACATTTAGAAAAATACAAATTTTGACTAAGGAAACCATTGAGCCCCTAGATTAACAGAATAGTTAATCCAAATGGGTAATTGGGTTAACCGAATAGTTAACCTTATGCTAGTCAAAAGCAGAAGCAGCTTCAGAATTAAAAAATCAGCATTTTATAGCACGGTACTTCCATGCCATACTTATTAATCGATGTTACTTCCATGCTATACTTATTAATCTATATAACATAACAAACACTTAAGAAAAATATTAAAAAAAAAAAAAAAAAAAATAAAAAAAAAAAAAAAAAAAAGAAAAATATTTTCAAAATTCTTGCTGGATTTATACGTTTGCTTGGTTTGATAAGCTGGTGTTATAGTTTGTAGTCTTGTAATATCTAAAATAAAATGCAACTGTTCATTAAGCTGAGCTGAAAAATTTTCTTTTTGATATAAGACAAAATTATGAGCACTTTCTTCAACACATGTACATTTTACCCTTTCTGGCACACCCAAAAAATTTGCTCTGTATGAACAGAAAAATTAAATGGCAAAGGCTTTATAGGTTATTTTTAATCTTCTTTATTTATACTAGATGGCAGGACAACACAAAACCAATCCATACATTTTAACCAAGTTTAGTTTTTAGGAAAATTTTCCAGATTTTTTTTTTAGGATTTAAAAATAATTGTTTGAAAAGAAATTTCTATGTCATTTTCTTGCCTGTATGCTGATTTCTTTATTCTACATTAGTTTTAAATTTTTACCTTGGAATCTTGCCTAAAATCAAATGACGAACATCTGGTGTGCCCATAGTGGGATCACTGAAACACCAGAACCAGACCAACAACTGTATACTTGTTTTAATGCAGTAATTTCTTTGGTGAGCTCATTCACAATAGAAAGGTGGGTACACATCTGGGTTTCATTCCTGTTTTTCCTTCTTATTTACTTTTTTTTTTTTAAAAAAAAAAAAAAAAAAGAGGTTTGGTAATCAACTAAAATTGCTAGCATGTTTTTCTGAAGGTCAGGGTAATTTTATCAGTTACCTGTTTGATTTTTCACTAGAGCAGTTCTTTTTTGCTTTTGTTGAAGATTCAATATCTTTACGTTTTGATAGTTTTGAGTTGTAGATGTTTATTTAATTTAATTTTATAGTTTATATTTTCCTAATTGTAGATATAATATTAGTTTATTTTTTCTGATTTTTAATTATTTTGCAAATGGATTGGAGAAGGCTGACCATTTCTGAAGCACTGAAAGTGCTATGCGAATTGCCTTCAGATAGTGAATCCGATACGGAGTACTGGATTCACTATCTGAAGGCAATTTGTAATGTATCTGAAGGCATATAATGTGTACACATTTTGCATATGCATACATATGCAAACATGAAATGCTAGATTGTGCTTTTTTAAAGGTAGTGTCACTTACTTCGAAAAGTACCACCATGAAAAAAATAGACGAAAGTATTAAATATGAAATGTTAATACTACTGTGAATATCATGAATGAATCGTAATATGAAGTTAATTTTTTTTTCATTTATATGCACATACTCATCATAAAACCAATAATAATTTTTTTTTTAATGTTAAGTAGCAGGCCTTCCCGTGGTGCACACTGGTTAATGATGCTACATCTGCTATGGCAATCAAAATCTAGTCTTTTTTAATCGTAGGCAAAATTTTTAACTCTATTACATGCTTCCCAGCAATGCTCGCTTCAGCACTCTTCTCGAAGCTCTATTGATTCAAAAAGCCCATCTACAGAATTAAAAATGTAACTGCTATCTTCATAAAATTTAACCTGTCCACTACGCCTGATTAGACTGCCTACTATTTTTTTTTTTTTTTTGGTTTTGTTTTTGTTTAGTTGTTGAAATTTCAACTTTAAATGCCAGAAAAGGTTAAGCAATGTAAAGTATTACATCTATAGTTATATAAAATTTTCTTCCATTCAACTGGCAATAGTTTCACATGCTTTTCAGTATCCAAACATTATATTAATTACACATAATTCTGGATTTGCATAATATACATACATACAGTCTTTAATAAAAAATAATTCTCTCCTTATAAACTTAGTGACAAAAACAAACTGTGATCATTATCCCTTACTTAACTTGTATAATACATTTGAGTAATATGCATACTTTTAAAAGTTAATAAAAATATTTTAACATGAGAGCTGAAATTGTAAATCATACCTAAATGCATTAGGCAAGATGATATCTCCATCATCAGCTCTACTGTATGGCAATTGGTCTGGATCATTACTTAAGCCTCTTCCAAAGTTCTTTATCCTCTTACCCTTAGAGGGCTTAGTTCGTTGGACATCTAATGGCATTTTACTTTTTTCTGCAAAATGCATATAAGAAAAAATTCATATGTTTAATTTGATGCATTATATTGAGGAAATAAAAATTATATCATCTTAAGGATAATGCAGTATCAAATATGAGCAACATAATATAAAGTTTGAATACAATAACTATTCAATAAATGCATTATGAAAATCCAATATAACCACAATAATTTTAAGCAACAATTTTTTTTAAAAAATTATTTATTAATCCTTTTAAGTATTTTCACTAAAAATATTTTACAATTCAAAATAGAAAATATTTTTAAAATGCAAATTTACAACATTTATATTAGGAGAAAAATTATATACATAGTTTTAGTTTAAATAGGTTTAGTACAATTAATGTTCATATCAAGCAAAATTATACTAAAAATACAGTATCAGCATAAAATATATACAGTTAAGTATAAAATTAAGCTTAAACTACTAATAATTCTCCAATATGCATGATAAAACATATTCTAAATTGTTAACAGAAAAAAAAGCATAATACATTTAAAAAAAAATTATGGATGAGCTAGAGGCTTAAAAGCTAATAAATTATAGTTAACTTATACGTAATAATTATCCTTCAGATCTTTTTTAACTCAATAATGTTAAATTATCAAAAAGTACATTAATATTCCCAAAAAATACAAAAAATAATGATGAATTAACTGCTAAATTTAGAATTTTTATTGGCATGTAATGTGTACAATCACATTCCCGAATTTTCTAAATTAAATATGTAGATAAATGGAAAATTTACTAAAATCGTCATTTTAAAGCTTTTTGCTTTTCTACAAAATCAGTTGTACAACAAAATACAATATACAAAATTTGCCAATTCATAAAGTACTGATGTGTTTAAGCTTTTATCAGGAAATATTCTGTTTGAAATTCAGAATTTATAACATAGAACTATTTAATATGAATTAAATTAATGTTTAAAATTTGTTAAAATATGAAATAATATTACCTAAAATCTTATTTTGTTAACTGATCTTTAATTCAGTTTGAAATTTTATTTTACTTTATTTATAAAAGCTATCTTATAATTAAAAAATCTAATGTGGATATGGCGTGACTTCCTTGCATGCCTATTAAACTATACATATTTTTTATGAATTTCATTTAAACTTATTTCCTTGAATTATTTTAAATTAACTGATCACTCCAAGCAAGTTGGAAATGATACCAAAGATTGTAGTTTGAAATTAAATTTCCTGCTCAGTTTTGTCATAAAGGAGTCGCATATCTTGTATTTTTACTTTTTTATAACAAGTATACAATTTTCCCAAATGTAAGATTAGACAGGGGGAAAGGGAAGGTAGTAAAAAAGGAGGTGTATGACTAGATGTTATAACAGTTTTATATACAAAATTTCAACATTCTAATAGTTTTTTTTTTTTTTTTTTAATTGTGTAAGATACATACATACACACAGAGGTCATAAAAAAAATCCATTCTGAATCCATTTTATATTCTGTTTTGAAAGAGTCTTTTAATCCCTCTATACATAAAGATGTTGTGCAAATAAATAGTCAAAATAGATTTGGAAATGGTCAAATGGATACTTCTGCTGAAATCTAAAATTTTTCGTGATTACAATAGTTCCTTTTACTTCATACAAGGAAGCAAAAATATGCGATCAGAATTTTATAAAATGCTTTTAAAAAGTATGAAGATTTAGTAATAAATCTATCTACGATATTATAAATTCAGTTTTGGATTTTTTGTTGCGGTTGTGTTTGTTTTCCCTCCAGATTCTTACGATTTCAAACAAGGTCCAAAAGACTGTTAACTCTGAGAAAGTTGAACAGGAGGAGGGGATTGGTATAAATATCCTTTTTAAAGAGGTCCAAACAGACCAAAATATATTTGGCAGAAGCCTGATGTTCTCAGTATTTGGTACATGTGGAGAAGATTTCCATGCCCTCCTTGAAAGAGAGGCACTCTTAATGTGATCACTGGCAATACGTGAGAGCACAGTCTGGGAGCTTCTGTCACAAAGGTTTAGAGTCCAACCAGGCTTGTTAGCACCACACCATCAGTTGATGGGTGTGGGACATGAGCCATTCCACCATGATTTGTCATTTTTTCAAAGACCAATGTTTCAGCAGAAGAAGAGGGAGTGAATTTGTCCATCATTTCATTCCGTAAATGGATATCATAGTGCTGGAAAATTAACTGTGGCTTTTGTAGGATAGAATTCCAATTTTGTCGCCTACAAGAATACAATTATCAAGATATTGTAGTTAGCTACAGCTATCAGATATAATCCATAGATCACCAAAACTGTTTTCTGTTAGTACAGCCTCAAACCCCAAATTGATTGCTATCAGTTCATTCCTAAAGACAGAACAGTGATTTGGATTATAAAGACATAGACTAGTTTTTCCCTGAGGGGTCTCAATATAAATGCCACTACCTGCATGGTTAACAATTTTACTACCCTCTTGGAAGACCTTAACAGCATTTTTTGAGAATCGTGCTTGTTGCCACCAAAGCAATGATAAAATTCAATGATAAAAATCTTTCTTATTTACAGAAGTAATAAAGTTACAGTGAACCTCTGATGGATTCAAACAACACTAGTGGGGCTCAGTACAAGAAAATAGGCTCCGAGACTCAACTAGGTCAAACGGGCTGTTTTTCTTTAGTCTTTGTTGGTTTTCACACTTATTTAAGTATACTGAAGTTTTATTGTATTGGCAGTAGCTAGAGAGTTGGTTAAAGCATTTACAAGGTCGGCTAGTCTTCAAGTCTGGACAGGTTGCAAATCGGCCTCAAAAAGGAGTATTTTCGCAGGGCAGTTGCGCCCCAACACAGTAATAATAGGAGCTGCACTTAAATGAACATTTCCTAATTTCTTCAGGCTGGAATTAGAGGCAGAACAATAAATTGAAAACTGAAACTTGAGTATGATCAAATGAGGGCCAAGTAAGAAGTTCTTAGGATAGTCGCATCAGCTGCCTAGTCCCTACAGAGGATGTATTTAAGAATGTTTAATTGTTTTCTACTTTTTTGAACAATATGTTTGATATGCTTGTTACATGTGAATTCAGGGTCAAGAATAAACCTCAGTTATTTAGGGTGCTTGTTGTGAATTTTAAAAATAATTTAAATACAATATAGCTCTATTTTAAATGCATTATTAATTACAATAACATTAAACAAACGTAATTTGAAGAAAATGCAGAATCGCCCACTGCTTGGCGTGTTTTTAAGAATTGCACAAATTCAGTATCCATGTGCACATCGACCTATTTTTCACTTTAAAAAACATCACAGAATAGCAAAAATTCACTCATGCCCTTGACTTTGTCCATGTACACATCAATTTATTTTCACTTAAAAAGTCAAAACAAATTGACAAAAATCCAATTCTTCTTACTCTTGTAAAAAGCACCAAACATAATGTGCCATATAAGTGGGCCATTCTGCACTTGACCCCTTAATTCTACATAGCTTTCATAAATACGAGATACCACATTTAGATCAGGAATGAATTTACTATTACCTTAGGAATTATTATTTCAAACAGGAAACTAGAGGATGAACTAGTTCATTCAAATTTCGGGTAAAGTGCAGAATCGCCCACTTATTTGTTTGGCGCTTTTTACAAGAGTAAGAAGAATTGGATTTTTGTCAATTTTCTTTGACTTTTTAAGTGAAAATAATAGGTCAATGTGTACATGGATAATGTCAAGGGAGTGCACAATGCCATTTTTGTGCAATTCTGGGATTTTTTTAAAAGTGAAAATAGGTTCATGTGTACATGGATATCGAGTATGTGCAATTCTTAAAAACGTGCCAAGCAGTGGGTGATTCTGCACTTTCCCCCAAATTTCAATTTGGAAAAATCAATAGTCATAAAAATTTAATTATGAGCAAGTTTAGATCTTTAATTATTTATTGATAATCACAAGATTAAAAGTAATACATTTACCTTCATTTACATCATAAAATAATATTCTGATTGACACTTACACGAGAGTAAGATAAAGTGCTCTATATTCCATATTCATCCATATCAAAGTTCTGAAACAAAAATACAATAAAATATTAGTTACAGATTAAACATTGCACAAAATTTACAACATCTTCAGGCATCCCATTTTTAATAAACATGAACCAAATAAAGTTTTATGAATAACGTATAAAGTGCTTATACCTTTCAACATGGTGCAATTTTTATAAATGGTTTGTTCAAAGAAACAAAATTGAATAAAAAATCCAGTGATGAAAAAAATTACAGTTTAAGTTCCTCACTGATGTATAATAATCAGTTATAAGATAAAATACAAAAATATATAACCTGCAATCTTCCTTCGTTTGGTAATATGCAGATCCTTAAAATATCAATTAGATATTAAAGAATCTTCAGCATTTTAGCAAAACAATCAATCGAAACTTTATGTTTAAATTTTCTCAAAGCAATCCAGTTAGAGAGAATTAATCATTAAGAGAATTACTTCAAAAATTCTAAACCTAATGCTTCTTTTTTTCAAGGTAAAAACGAACGACAGATATGTTTAATTTGGGATATTCAACATTTTTTTTTTCATAAACAAGTAAGTAAAATTGAATAAACCTTTTACTAAAAATAAATAATTTAAAATGCAGCTTTGTGAAATTCTTTGCTTTTCACCTTCAGGTAAAAACTGGTGCAAATAAGAAATATGTAATATAAAACTTTAAAATTTCATTGCATTCTCTTCGGGAAACAACAATTTAAACTGATAACTGAAAAGAAAACACTCCAACCTCTGCCCCTCAATATATTTAAAAAAAAAAATGTTTCTGAAGCCCACGAGTTTTCAATAACAAACACATTTAAGAAGTTATTATATATACATATTTTTTCTAATTAAATAAGAGTTATACTATACTGAAAGTCTGCAGAAAATTTCAAAAGACAAAAATCAATATATACTAATTTATTAAATGCCGCTGAATTGTATAAGCAGCGATTATCACATTGCACAGTTTTTCAATATTTGTTTTACTTTTATAATTTACGTGTTGAGATGTAGCATTCCTGACACTACGAATCAGTTTTGGTTTCAAATAATTATTTATTATGTTTCAAAATTGAAATATCACACATTTTAAATAGAAAATTTAAAACTTGAAGTAAATTACTTTAATCGAGTTTTTTAAGGCTAAATATTTACATACTTTTATTACATGAAATCTATTTCGAAATTAAATTGCATATGAACACATATACTGGTGCCATCTATTGGCCAGAAAGCGCTTTATAACAAACGTAGAGTGGTAGTATTTCGGAGAATTAAAATTTAATATTGATTTCAAATCAATGATTTGACGAAGTCATGGTTGTAACTATACAGCTTACATTAACAATGAATATTATCCACTCGTTCAGAAATGATTGACTATCAGAACTGTTCTCCAAGTCCAGTCATTAACTACGTAAAAATTCCAAGTTTTTCGAAATGGCAACGGAAGTTTCGGCAAACAGAAACTGATATTTTTTTCTTTATATGGCTATAATTATTACTAAGAATTTTTGCATTACAATTTTATGCATACCACTACTAGAAGCCATTGCTAGTAAAGTAAATTTTTCATGCCGATTTAACTTTACTATTGTAAATAATTTTTCTAAAACATTTTAAAATTAAAATATAATAAATAAATAAATATTACTTAAACATTATGAATTTATAAACTGAAATTTATTTAGATTTCAAATTGTAATTCTTTACTTTATTAGCTTTCTTAATTTTATTTGAAACACAATTTTAATTGGAGTATTCCTCTTTAATTATAATTATATATGTAATTATACATAATTACAAAACATTTTTTTTTTTAAAAACGAAATATAACCATGCCTAGTATTTTAGCGCATTAAGCTGCTGAAAAATTATCTGTAAAAATATAAAGTAAGAAATTTAGAACTAATTTTTCACAAAGACCAAAAACTGAAATTCATAAGTAATAAATTTCAAATAATCCTATAAATGCAAAAATGAATTTCAATTATTGGTTTTTAGGAAAAACCAGTTCTAAATTTCTTACTTATATAATTATACATACACACATATATATATATATATATTATATTAATTTGTAAAGAAATACAAGAAGAAACCTTAAAAATTAAGGAATTTCAAATTTATTTTAAAAGGACTTGAAAAGTAAAATTCTGCGCTGTCTCTGCTAAGATTAAAAATTTAACTTAATAGAGGATTCTAGGAAGTGTGAAGGAAAATTTAGTTAGTAAAGGTATATTATTGTGGAAATAAAAATGGCAATCTGTGATTAATTAAATTGGAATTTCTAATTCATGAATGATAAATTAATAAAAAATAAATTTAAACAATTAATATAGCTGTTGATTGCACAGAAATATCCGGATTTTTCAAGGCAAATTGGAATTCCTCTTATAAAATCATCAACAATTCTTTCGTCTTTTTCGTATTTCTGAACAAAATTCCTATTCCAGTTTAAATATGCTAATCAGTTTTATAAAATATCTGAAAACCTTAAATTATTTCAAAAAAAATTTTAACATATTTCCGCGACACGATGATAGATTATTAAATTCAAAAATAAAAATAATATCCATTCAGTAAATTCTTATTTATTTAATACATCTCCGAGTGTTCTAATAATTTTCATTAGAAACTAGTATGAATTAAATCCCTAGTTATATAGGAATTATCTTCAGTGTTTGTTTAATTTAAAACAAATGATGCAGCCCATTTGCAGACCAGAGCAAGTTTGTGAATGTCATCCAGGAACCCACTTTTTTCTTTATTAGTCTTCACATGCTTTGCCGGATTCATCAATTAAGTTCACTGTGTTCCTATCTTTTCTCCAGTTCGAGAAATATTTCTGTTCTAATTTTTGATGTCATTTGAGGTTTTTTAGCTGATTTAAATTACTACATGTATATTTTGATCAATGGGTGAGGAAATGAAAAAAACTGGCACCGAGTGGCTCTAATTCACGTTTCACGTTGCCATCTCTTCTTCTTAAGAACACAGCCGGTTTAATAGCAAAAATATATTTGATACTTTATGAAATATATTTTATTTACTTATTATGTGTGATGTTCATGATAGCTAAACTGTCATAGTGTACGGTTGAAGAATTCTTTGCCTGAAGTGTTTAACTAAAATAATGCTTCCTTGAAAATGTGGCCTTTTTACTTCCTTGCATGAAGTAAAAGAAGTATAGTAATAGCGAAAGTTTTCGGGCATCAATATTTCAACGAAAATATCCATTTTGATCGCTATCGAATGCAATTCAACGATGCTTCTGCATACTATCTGTACGTAAGAGCAGAATAAAGGATTCTTTTCCCCCAAACGAATTATAGAACTGATTTAAAATGGATTCAGAAGAGATTTTTTCGTGGTGTCTGTACGTACTTATGTATCTCGCCTAACTTAAAAACGAGTAACCTCAGAAATTTGCAATTTTGTATATAGGATTGCTATAACATGTAGTTGTGCACCTCTCTTTTTTGGTGCAATCGGCTGAACCTAAAGTATATAAATAAATACATATATATATATATTATATACATATTTAACAAACATTCTCTATTCGTAAAAAGCAAATTTAAAGTTAATTAAATTTTAAATGAAATTGAATTACAAATAAATGATTAATTATTGTTGCGAACTAATCTACAATATCATTTAAATTCTGAGAGCATACGTAAATTAAGTGCAAGTTTCAAAATCGATGAATATATAATAAATGTATAATATATAATTCCAATAAATTTTTTAATCCTAAAAAGTTATAAAAATGCATAAGTGAATAATTGTTGAGCAGGCAGGAGACAGACTTATCAAGGGGAAGTTGCCTCCAAACCTAACTCTTCAATTATTCAATTCGTGATTCGTCATCCATGTAGGCAAAGGTAAAAGGAAAATTGAAAACCAAAAATAAAACCAAATGTTGTGAATTACTAAAAATATTTAAACAAGTGGAATTTAGAGAAATCAACAAGTAAAGACTAGTCAATTAAGAGGTAGTAAACCAATTTTGTTTAGAAAATTAAAGTAATTTAGAAACTCTTGTCTACAAAAAAACTTCCCCGACACGAATTATGCAAATAAATTGAAAAGAAACTAGATACTATTTATAAAAAATACATAAATAATACTAAAATAATACTAAAAAGGCAAGCAAAAAGTAAGTATTATTTGAACTTACCAACAATATTTGTATTTGGAGAGTGGAGCAGTATGCTGAACTATGTGATGTTAAGTAGTGTGTTTCTTCTAACTTTATAAATAGAGGGCGCTAATATCGCTAAGATCTATTTTAAAAACCTATTCTATAAACTTTTAGTAATGTAAAATGTGTGTACCGTTGCAAAAATTTTTTTGCTAACTGTGAAGTATTGTAAAAATGTGCAAAAAATTGTAAAAGTGCTAACTGTAATGTAATGCGAAAAAATGGTTGCAAGTTTTTAAGGATTGTAAAACATTAAGGTTTAAAAAATCGAAATGTTTTTAAATAAATTTTAATTAAAAATTTTTAAAATTTAAAAATGTTTTAATTAAAGAAGGTTTTGTAATAGTCTTTTTATTAAAACTGAATTTCAACATGTTTAATCAAAACTTACTAAATACTGGCAAAAAAGTAAAGAAAATTAGAAAAAGATTAAAATCTTCACTCAATTCAGGCTATAATTGAGACTTTTGAAAAAGAGTTGGCCCTTCATTAGTAAAAGGAAAGAATGCAGTATTGGTTATATACATTCTTACAAATATTTACAAGATAATCCCTTAATATCCCTTAATAAGATAATGTATATATTATATACATATATATAATGTACTCACTCTGTCACTTGGCTCCATGAGCTCAGTTTTTTTTATTCTTATATGTTGGTAAATTGTGCATTTTTTGCTTCAAAAATGATTTTATGTAATTCTCATCTTCCGGTTAAGGTTTTTATGCCTTTAGTTAATCTGCATGCACTAGTTGTAGAATTATCAACAATTTAAAAGACATTCTCTATTCGACAATAATAACAAACGTTCGTAATACAATACGTTGTTTAAGTTGTAATACAATACGTTGTAAAAGTTGTTTAAGTGCGGCTAAGCCTAATATTTTACCATAACAGCCATATTTTTTTACATATGTTTTACACGAATTTCATTATTATTAAGAGGATTAATACTGTTAATATCAATTTTGTGGCCAAGTTCCCACGTTATGCAGGATTACATTGAGAGGTACATTCCTTAATTATAGTGTAATTAATATAGATGCAGATAAGGCTGAGGATGAGAAGGATGCTTTTTACGAAGAATTCCACGCACTGTATTCTGCCAGTCCGAAATACGATATCAAGATTGTGCTTATCCCCCGGGTTTGCTGGGTAACGGTCTTCTGCGACGGGCTCGCCCATGCGACTGGCAGGTAGCAATTGACGACCAGTGCTGCCTGGTGTCATATCCAGGTGGTGCGCTGCTCCCCTGGAAGGGTAATAGTGGAGGTTGAACGTCCACTAAGTGCCCAAAGGGAAAGTAGACCTGTAATGTGCTTAATTGTTCACGTGGCAAGGCAGCCAAGAGTTACAAAGATTGTGGTGGGAGATGCAAATGCTCAAATAGGGAAGGAAAGTAGGTTGAAACCTACGATCGTTGAGCATAGCCTGCAACATCACTACCCAAATGATAATGGGCAGAGTCTGATGTTTTTTGCTATGGAACATGATATGGCGGTGGCCAGTACTTGCTTTCCACACAAAATGACTTGGAGATCTCCAGATTGTGACATTTTCAACTAGCTTGACAATGTTTTAATTGACGCCAGACATGTACCAGACATACTGGATGTCAGGTCATATATCGTGGAGTAAATTTTGACTCAGATCATTACTTGATAATGATGAAAATCAGAGCAAGAAATTCTAATGCCCATAAGAATCGGCGGAGGTGAGGAATTGGAGAAATTTAACTGCTCAAAGTCCCAATCACATTATGTTTCGGCTACGCAGGACTTGACGTCGAAAGGGACAATTCTCAGAA